GGCGCAGTTGCTCTGCCCCGGGCTTCCTGGAATCAGTGGCTGATAAGTTTCAGCAGCAGCTGACTTGGTGTTCTTAAGTTCACCAGATTCAGCCGCTGTTGAAACTGATCAGTTTCAGCAGCGGCTGAATCTGGATGCCAGTTCCAACTTACATACAGATTCAACTTAAGAACAAACCTACAGTCCCTATCTTGTACGTAACCCGGGGACTGCCTGTAATTGCCATCACAATTTGGTGTCTCTGCTGATACTGTCTGAGGATGAAGGACTGAGACCCTCAGTCAAGCAGACACTTAATCACCCACCTAATAGTGAGCATTGACTTCACCAGGAATACTCACATATACAATTAGCCATGTGGTTAAGTTCTTAGAGGTAGGGCCTGAGTAGGCATAACTTTGTAAGACTTTCAATATGGCACCTTTCACATGCACCAAAATCATAGAGACTCTACCCTGAGATCTTGTACTCAGTTTTACTCAATGAGGCAAATCTCATTGAAATCAATGGGAGTCTGCCTGAGAAAGGACTGAGTAAAACCTCAGAAGGGCCTCAGGCTTTGGGCCTTAATAATAAAGGCTACTTGTGGAAATATAAAAACATTTAAACATAATTTTCTACATACTGGAGCATTTCCAACTTAGGCACGTGTTTCTTGCCTTCTACCGCATGAGACTCAATGCAAATTCAGTTCTATCTTGGGCTTTGATTTCACCCACTAGGTTTGGGTATCAATCACTGAACACCCTAGACGAAATGCACGTATAATGACCAGGAGCAACAGTTACCTGTATTAGACGGACAGGGTTCTGCATAATATCTTCCCCTCCGAAGAGATAAATTCTTTGGTCTTTAGCTGCAACAGCAGGATGAAGTACAGCCACGGGCATGCTTGCCATATTCTCCCAGATGTTATAAATGCTATCGTATCTCTCCATGGAATTCAGTATTTCCTGGTTCTCTCCAATTCCTCCAATTGAGAAAATGTAGTTCTTATAGGCTATGCTTCTGTGGGAATAACGTGGAACCAGCATGGGTTCAACTAACCTCCATTGATTTAGCTTGAGGGAGAAAATATAAACATGATCACTGACTGGACTTTTCTCATTGCTAACGGGCATCCCTCCTAATACATAGATATTGCTATGCAGGCTCACTGTGGAGGCTTTGTAAAGGCGCACAGGATGCTTGGCGAGGCTCAGCCACTGGTTGGTTTTCTCATCATACAGCAGGACATCCCTGGTTGTCGTCTGGTTGTCCTTCCTGCCACCAATGATTATGAGAAACTCTTGGTATGAATATCGGCGAGGAACGTGCCACATGGGTTTGATGTCAGGAGTGCTGGTGCTATACAATGAGAACATCTGTCTCCGGGCTGATTCCAGGATGCTTCTACAAGCGGGTGAAGACTGAATGAGGGAGTCATTGGCGATGAAGTGGAAAAGGAAGGTTGGGTGGACATACTGGAGCCGGACCTTCTTGAACAAATCTTGGATGTAGCCCTGTCGTGTTTGGAGGTCATGCCGGATCCAGACCATCAGTGTCTCAAACACTTGTTCCTCCTCAGCACAGAGCTCATCATCCCCCAGGTAATCAATAAGTTCCAGGGCACAAAGCTCCTTCAGGTCTTCAGAAGATGCTACTGCAGGAAAGCACTTCAGAGCCATCTCCTTGGCTTTCTTATTGAGATTCTGGCAGTTCAAGATTTCAGAGAACCTTATCATGCTCAGGCAATTATCAGGAGTCAGCTGTCCCTGGAGGTACAAGGAGCAGGCCTGAAACAATTTTATGTACTGTAACATAGAAGTGGCCTCCATGAGGTACAAGACGTTCTCGGGTGTTATAAGAATCTCTCCTGTGTAAACATAAAGGACAATCTGATACAAAATATTGAAGTCAATGCCTTTCAAGTCGACTTTTGCTTGGCAACTCTCTTTAAAGTTGTTACAGAACATTGCCTTGAAGTAAGGACTGCTTGCAGCCAGCACATTCCTGTGGCAAGGGATTTCAAACTCACTAGTGCAGAGAGTAACATCAGTCAACATCCCCTTTTGCCTTAAAATGTTGAGCTGCCTCAGCAGTTCAGAGGAGAAGTCCTGGTCTGTGAAGAGAAAGTCCTTTGCAGATTCTTCCTCCATAGCGAAACGTGGGAGAGAAGAATATTGGGCTTGGCAGAGAAAACAAATTCTTAGCAGCTTTTATTTCAATGCCCCGTCCCAAAGTGGCCAGGGAACAGATCTTTGATGGTTACTCTCTGTTTGTGCATAGAAATGGGAACACTGGTTGAGTGGAGTGGGAAGGCAGTACACAAACCAAGTGGTCACTCAGCATCTGTTTGTTTTTTAAAGGTATCAGATGTGAGGTCTGACTCTTTTATTAGCACGACACAAAACATAAGCACTACAGTTCTGTTGCTGACTTGGATTTAATGTGAAAAGCCCTAAGCAAATTGTATGTTCATTTTAAACATGTCTAATAAATGTACTTAGCCTGTTCTTTGCTAGTTTAAAAGTATTCACAACGGAGTAACTTATGACTCCTTCCCTTAAAGTTAGTCATTCCCAAAGAATGTAAATCTGGCAGAGCTAAACTCTGCAATAGGACAAACTTCAGAGACTTGGAATCTCCATTAAAATGGCTATTAACTCTGCTTAGCTGTTGTTTTATATTAATTAGACATACAACTAAACAATGTGCCAGGCAGAATGATAATATGGCTATCTATCTTCATGGCTATCTGACTGCTCAATATGCAGTGAAATTACAGCTTAGAAATGTTTACCTTATGTTGTCCTTGACTGCACTTCACTCACTTTGTGCCGTTTATTCTTTGCTGAGATTTTCCATAGCTAGTACATGAATAAAAACTATATACCCCCAAGACGTTCCTTTCTGTTGGCAAGTGATTCATAGAGGGCCTTTTCTGAATTTGTTTATTCTGAAGGCACTTTCCCTGCTTTCAGGAGCTTTGTGAAAGAACCACCAGGCAATGAGGCATTGTGTACATTCCAGGGCTAAGAATAGTCACATATGGACTTCTCACTGTTATCACATGTGACTTTCCCCATGCCTTTTGCAAAGAGCTAGACATTACTGAGCATGCCCAAGGGGTGTTTTTTTGGCATGTGTTTACATATAACAAATAGACTCTGAAACCAAGGTACACTTATAAAAGTCCTGGCTGTCCATTTCGAAACAGCCGGAAGGCCCTGTCCTGAAGTGCCTGGGAATTCTAGAAGCCTGTAAACAGTCTTAAGTGCCTACCACTGGGCATGTTCAAAAGTTTCAGAGGGATAGCCAAGTTAGTCTGCAACTGAAAAAACTTAAAAAACAATGAATAATCCTGCAGCACTTTTTAGAGACGCTCCTAAAAATGTAGATGGTATCATGAGCTTTCGTGGGGACAACCCACTTCTTCAGATGCATGGAGTTAAGGGATCCAGGATACAAATAAATAGCAGAGAAAGAAAAGGGGTGGGGAAGGAAAGAGAAGGAAAAAAATGGGAAAAACTATTGTCAAAGTATCATGCTAAATGAGGCTAATAGAGCAGGCTCTAAGTATCCAATGCTTAGCTTTTTATGTCATTAGTGTGTGCAATGTAGCAGCCCATCCAGTTCAGGTCTTTGTTCAGACCTCGATTCAAGATGTAAAACTTGTAAATGAAACTAAGTTCTGCAGCTTCTCTCTCAAGTTGATTTTTGAAATTGCTTTGTAATAATATGGTCACTCTGAGATCCATTAGTAAGGATCACTTTGCCCAGGCAAATTGAAATGTTCCCCAAAAGGATTCTGTGTATTACCATTTCAAATATCTGATTTGTGTCCACTGATCCTCTGTCGTAAAGACTTTCCAGTTTAGCCAATATACATGGAGGAAGGGCATTGCTGACATAGATCCCACTGGTGATATTCATAGCCAGCCTGCCAGAAGCAGAGAGGTGGGACAGAAATAGGAAGTGGAGCTATAAAAGGCCAGTCCTCCAGCTCCATTGGAGAACTGCTAGAGGAGGAGCAGGACATCTCCTCCCCACCACCACCACCTTTGCTGCTGAATTGGATGAAGGCTGCCTGGGTGCCCAAGCCCCAGAGGGACTGTTGGAGCTGGCAAACAGCAAGGACTTGCTGGGACTGCTGCTTGCTGTTTACCTGAGTGAGGTCAATGCCTGCTCCAAGGTCCAGGTGCCCTTGCATGGATCCCAGGGAAGCTAAATAGGGTTCAGCTATGTGATGGTGTACAAGCCAGCCAGCACATTATAATCAGATTTCCTCATTGGCCCAGTGGCGGTCCACTCCCCTGTTGTTAGGGCCCTGAGCAAGGGCACATTGGGGTAGGAGGGCCTATGTCACCCCCATCTCTCCATGACATTCCACCCTGCAGCTCTGCCTTGACTGCGGCCCTGCCCTAAACGAGGGCCTTAGGCTAATCGATGGGACATGGCTTGGGCTGCCTCTCAGAGGCCAGAGTCCCTGCTTAATTTCTGCTGTGGGGCCCA